TGTCCCTCAGTGCGTGCAGCACGAAGGCTGAGGGGCCACGTGCACCTTTTCATTAGAATGCATCATGAGGAAGCTCTAATTCTGATATTAGTGTTCTAAAGAAAAAATATTTAGAACAAACATTTATTTGGGCTTTTCCCTAGGCAATACAATGATACATGATAATACTTTCTAGTATACCTCAGTGTATATATCTTAAATAACATGTCAGAAGCTGCTGCCTAATAATTAAAATGTAAAATACTTAAAATATACTTAAGAATAAATTTTCTACCTGAAAATGATTAAAAGATAACTATACTATCCAAATATTGACACTGGTGCACTGTAATGCACAAAGTGAGCAGAATACTGCTATGTATGAGGAGGAACCCAGCACATACTGTGTGTGTGAAAGAATCCCGAGGAACACCTCACTCAGATAACAGCCCATGCTCAACGCTGTATATCCACCCTTCAGTTCCAGACCCTCTGATACAAAAAGGTACCATTTCTGCATTCCCAGCATCTAGCACATGGAGGCACTAACAGCCATTTTTCTGCTGAATAAAAGAATGGACTTAATTCAAGTTTCAGAAAGGAATCCTTAAGATGATTAAAGGAAGATATAAAGTAATATCTCTGAGGGAAGACTGTAATAAATTGGGACTGGCTGATGTAAGAATTGGATAGTAACAGTCACGCATATGAAAGGATTTTCCTCTCAATTTGGGATCATAAAATTGGCTAAAACTACTGCATTAATAACACAGGATAAATATAAGCAAGAACCAAAGTGACATATTAGGTCTACCTAGTGGAATCATCCTTTAAGAGGTTACTAAACATCCAAATATCCAAAGCATGCATTTACCGTTACCTAAGATCATTTCTAAGCCATCCCACTTATATGTCCACATTCTGCAAATGCCTTTCTTTGGCCACCTCCAGCGCACAATGATGGTCAGTTAAGGACCCTCAACAGGCTACCCCTTGGGGCTCAATGATGTGTGGCCACAAGTGGCTTCCCATGTGGGAAGGCACCTCTCGTTGAAGTGGGCACCCCCTGTGCTTAGAAGTTGTCCCTTTGCTCTGGAGCAGCTGGGCCATGTTGCGCATGTGCCATGATTATAGGTGAGGATGGCCCTTAGAGCCTAGACCACTTTGAAACCACAAGCCTTCAGTTCTTTAAGGGCAGCATGAAACAGCTGCCTGTGCAAAGAACTGAACAGAGGAAGAAACGTGAAGCCAAGTCATCACAGAGAAGGATGCAGCATGGCCTTTAACCCCAGCGTGGTCTTTAAGAACCACTCCAATTTTTTCCTGTGTAAAATATAAAATTGGTATTTATTGTCAGTTTCATCACCTGGTAAGTAGGTAAGGGGTAGCAATGCTCAAGCATACAGGACTGCTCTGAGGTTTCTACATGATGACACAATGCAAAGGTACAGAACTAGTAAGTTAATGCAGAAATCTGAAAAAGGAACTCTGAAGGGCAAGCTTTGAAAAGCATGTCAGCTAACAAGGTTTTTACAAGAAGAGGTGAACTAAAATTTTCTTCCATTAAAATTTTTTTTTACCTATTTATTCATTCCAGTCACTGAACAGAAATGAACATTTTGAATAGACATGTTCAGTATTAAAAATCTAGAATATATGAGTAAAGCTCCAAAATGACTCATACAAAATTATGTTTTGGCATACATCTTTCTGTGTGTGTTTGTGTGTGTGTGTTCATGTGTGTGTATTTGCTTCCCCATGCCCCAAAAAAGTGGCATGTTGTATAATCTGCTTTCCTCACTTAACACAATTTCCAGTCAAGAAACAGGCATTTTCATGTTGCCATTTTCAGAGCTGCACTGTATTCACTGCATGGCTGTATTCCTGTATTCCACTGTATGGCTATGACATAAAATATTTAATCCCCTAATGAAAGATATTGAACTGTTTGCAACTATATTAAACATTCTTGAACTTTGTTCTGAAACTCCTGCAATCTCTGGCTCTCCTAGATGCTGCATCTTATTTGGTGATGCAGTCAGACGCACATTTGTTGTATATAAACTGGCAAGCAACGGCACCTTCTCCTCTGAGTCTTACATGAGTGTTACTTTCCTAATTTCTACAATAATAATTATTCATATGGAAGATTTGCAGACTCTACAGTGAAGTTTTTTTTTTCCCGTCATGTATTTTAAAGGCAATTCCCACAAATCTGCTTATAAATACTCAAAAATATACATTCAGATTTTTGGGAAAAAAACATTTTCACAGAACTTAGAAAAACATTAATAAAAGTTATTGTTACCTATTCCAAAGCTGCAACCATTGCCTGGAATTTTCACCTCTCCTTTGTGTCTAGTCTTAGTTCCTGAAAAGCTGCTTCTCACACTAAGCTTTTCCCAAGTAAATGGAAAAATATTTTTATACTTTTATTCCACAGTGCAATCCCTATGATTTTCTATTTAAGAATCACTCCATTTTTTTTCCTGCACAAAATATAAAACTGATATTTATTGTCTTTCCTATTTCACTAATTTCCGTAATTATCTCTAGTGTTTTCTTCTACTTGCTTTGGACAGTTATTTTCTAGCTTCTTGAACTATGTACTTAACACATCTATTTTAAATCTTTTCTTTTTTAAATAAAGGCATTCAAGGCTTTATATCTGTCTCAGATTGCCTTATCTGCATCCCACAGTTTTCACAGGTAGTATTTTCATCATTTAGTTCTAAGCATCTGAAAATTTCCACTGTGATTTCTTCTTTAACCCATGAGTTCCTTAGAAGTGTATTTTTTCATTTCCAAACTTTCCTTTTATCTTTTTATCATTGGTTTATAATTTAGCTGCACTGTAGTCAAGCAATGTGATCAGAAAATAATTATTTTCTGAAAGCTTTGAGTCTTCTGGTGACCTAGCACATGGTCAAATTTGAAGATACGCTCATGTGTCTTCGGTACAAGTTCTGCTAGCTTTCAAATCATGTTTAGTAAATCTCCTAAGTCTTTAATCTCTTTTTTATCTAGCACATTATAATACAAATGTGTTAAGATCTACCATTATGGTTGTGAATTTGCCAAATTCTCCTTCAAATTCTGTCAAATTTTGCTGTTACATGCAAATTTCATGATTATTTTTATATTCTTTGTAGACTGTTCTTTTTAACCTTTGTAGTGACCCTCTGTATTCCTATTAATATTGAATTTGCCTTGAATTCTATGTTTTCCATGTTAATACTGCCATTCTACCTTTTTATTGGTTGGGATTTGCTTGGTACATATTTTCCCTTGCCTTTATTTTCAACCTTTCTGAATCACTTCGAGCTGTATCTCTTCTAAGCACCACACAGCTGGATTTTTTTTTTTTTAAATCTAAACCGATAGTCTCTGTCCTGTAATTGGCAAGCTCAACCCATTTAAGTTTGTTGCGACACATCCCTACCCTCTTGTGTCTTCTACTTACCATCCTCATTCTTTGCTGTTTTCCCATTGTCTCTTTTCTGGATAATAAAATGTTTTATTTCCATTTTTGCTCTCTTTTGCTTTAGGTTTTATTTCCATTTAGGTTATAATGATTAACCCATCAACACTGTACAGAATGCATACCTCTTACATAACATGACCACAATCCTCTGATAACCCTCAGTGTCTATGAACATCAGTTTTAAGGTTGTTAGAATGAAGTTAGCTGAGATCCAATTCATTTAATATAGCAGGGAGAGAAGCAGATTTGCAGACAGTGCTTTTGATCAGGGTAGAGATAGTCTTTAAGGAAATACTGTATATTTCCTTAAATATACAGTAGCAACATCACTAGATATGTTGAAAGTACCCCTCAATTTTGGTGACTTCCAGGTGAGATTTACATACACACAGTTCTATCAGAGGAATTATTTTTCTTCTAAAAATAATCACACAGGATTTACTGCTCTGCTCTTCCTGCTTTAATCAAAGTTTACCCTCATCTACAGAACCTTATTGTAGGAGTTTTCCATTTTTCAGTTTAGGACTTAAAATTTCTGTCTCAACATTATTTATAACAAGAAAAGAACTAGAAAGAATCTAAAAGTTTATCAAGGGAGTAGCTAAGCAAATTATGCATTGACACACTGGAAAACTGTAGAATATCTATCAAATGTTTATATAAAAGCTACACATATGACAAATATATACATTGCACTGATATGAAGATGTTTAGTGAACAAAGCAAGAAACAAAATATAATGTGTGATGCTTGCTACTATGCGCAAAGGTAGAAGTGTAGGTTGCACAGATTCATGGAGTACTTGCAGATTGATAGTTTTAAAATTTAATAATTTCCCCTTGAAGTAGCTTAAGTCTTTTTCTCTCTCATTTTATCTTTCTTCTTTTTTTTTTTGTCATTTTAGTCATGGTTGTTGTGGTCGTCTTCTTCTTCTTTTTAAAAAGAAAATCTAACTTTCAGTTCCTAACATGGACTAAGCTTATTTCTCAGACTTTTAGGTTAACACAAATCAGATCACTGTGGTAAGTTCGTATTTCACTACATAAATGTGGTGACTGATTTCATTTCCTGGCAGTGATATGCGTTTGGTTTAAAAAAAAAAAAAAATTCAACTGAAATTAAATTTAAAAGCAAAGGTTAATGCCTGTCTGAAATGTGGGGTGCTTTACTTAACCAGACAATGATTCAAAAGAGGGAAGGGGAATCTCTGCCTAAAAAGTTACTGCATTCCCTTCTGTCACAAAAACGCGTTTGCCCTATTTAATTTGTTCTGTTTCCTTTCCAGAGCTTTGCCAAAGTCAGCAAATTCTGAGAGTAAAAACAGAAATTTTATTCTGTTCTTCCTGTTATCATATATTTAACCATATTATATAATTACAAACTGTTAAAAATTGCATGCCATGAAATGTTAAAACTTAGATATATAAAAGACAGTTTAGACTGCTTTGATAGATTATTGAAATTTTTTTTAAACTAATGAGTAATCAAATTGAATACATAGGCTTTTACTTAAATGACACTTCTTGGTTTTTTCTAGACACCTTGACCACCACCAATGGATATACAAATGGCTAACAATTTTACTATGCCCTCTGCACCTCCTCAGGGAAATGACTGTGACCTCTATGCACATCACAGCACAGCCAGGATAGTAATGCCTCTGCATTACAGCCTCGTCTTCATCATTGGGCTTGTGGGAAACTTACTAGCCTTGGTTGTCATTGTTCAAAACAGGAAAAAAATCAACTCTACCACCCTCTATTCAACGAATTTGGTGATTTCTGATATACTTTTTACCACTGCTTTGCCTACACGAATAGCCTACTATGCAATGGGCTTTGACTGGAGAATCGGAGACGCCTTGTGTAGGATAACTGCGCTAGTGTTTTACATCAACACATACGCGGGTGTGAACTTTATGACCTGCCTGAGTATTGACCGCTTCATTGCTGTGGTGCACCCTCTACGCTACAACAAGATAAAAAGGATTGAACATGCAAAAGGCGTGTGCATATTTGTCTGGATTCTAGTATTTGCTCAGACACTCCCACTCCTCATCAACCCTATGTCAAAGCAGGAGGCCGAAAGGATTACATGCATGGAGTATCCAAACTTTGAAGAAACTAAATCTCTTCCCTGGATTCTGCTTGGGGCATGTTTCATAGGATATGTACTTCCACTTATAATCATTCTCATCTGCTATTCTCAGATCTGCTGCAAACTCTTTAGAACTGCCAAACAAAACCCACTCACTGAGAAATCTGGTGTAAACAAAAAGGCTCTCAACACAATTATTCTTATTATTGTTGTGTTTGTTCTCTGTTTCACACCTTACCATGTTGCAATTATTCAACATATGATTAAGAAGCTTCGTTTCTCTAATTTCCTGGAATGTAGCCAAAGACATTCGTTCCAGATTTCTCTGCACTTTACAGTATGCCTGATGAACTTCAATTGCTGCATGGACCCTTTTATCTACTTCTTTGCATGTAAAGGGTACAAGAGAAAGGTTATGAGGATGCTGAAACGGCAAGTCAGTGTATCGATTTCTAGTGCTGTGAAGTCAGCCCCTGAAGAAAACTCACGTGAAATGACAGAAACGCAGATGATGATACATTCCAAGTCTTCAAATGGAAAGTGAAATGGATTGTATTTTGGTTTATAGTGAAGTAAACTGTATGACAAACTTTGCAGGACTTTTCTTATAAAGCAAAATAATTGTTCAGCTTCCAATGAGGATTCTTTTACATTTCTTTCACTGGGCACTTTCCCATCTCCAACTCGGAAGTAACCCCAAGAGAAGAACATAAAGCAAATAACATAAAGTACAATAAAAATGAAAATAAATATTTCATTTTTATTTGTAAACGAATACACCAAAAGGAGGCACTCTTAATAACTCCCAATGTAAAAAGTTTTGTTTTAATAAAAAATTTAATTATTAATATTTCTTGCCAACAAATGGCAAAAGAATAAGGACTGTATATTGCCAGATGTTAATACTGTAACATACTTTTTAAATAACATATTTCTTAAATCCAAATTTCTCTCAATGTTAGATTTAATTCCCTCAATAACATCAGTGTTTTGTTTTGTTTTGTTCTGAGTCACAAAACTTTGTTAAAGAACTCTTTTGGAATAAAAAGCAGGATGCTGCAAAGTTATAGTCTGTCCCTCAATGCTCACTGTCAACTACCAGCGGGAGTATCAGGGAAAAGATAATTGGCAATAGATAGACTCTGAATTGCAACATTATAAATAATGACGATGACTGAGGCAATGAAAGCACTGAGCTTTTCCTGGAGCTGCCAGCATAGTTTTTAAGGGCTTCTGCTTAGCAATATGAAAAAGACTTTATGTGGAGGTGCCCATTGGGAGGAGGGTCTACTTGCTAAATTCATCTTGGAAATAAAAAACATGCATATATGATTGGTTTTCTTGGGATCGCTAGGGGATCATTTCTCTTTTCTTCCCCCAAGCTGTTAGTACCCTACATCTGTATTTCAGTGGTTTGAGTTATCAAGTAGGAGAAGAGTGGTGCATGATAAGCAGTGGAAAATATAGTTGCTGCTTGCTTAAATATGATAGAGAGTAAAATGCAAACTTACAAAATTAAGCATCTTAGGATTCTTTACAATATTATATACTTGCTAAAATAAGTACTTTAATAGGAGTACCAGGACCTTTCCAAGTAGTCAACTGGTCTGCCAGTTCAAATTTGTTTTATCCCCAAAACTACCCCAATACAGTATTCTCTGTTGGCAATGACACCAATTTTTATAATGGTAGATAAAAAAAAGTTAATTCTGAGTCATACTTTAAAAATTTTTTTCAGAAAGGGGGTCTCACTCTGTTACACTTTAAATTTTTAATTGGACCTTATATCCTGAAAATATTTTATTTAAAGTTCTTGCCTTACTCATTTCCAACTTTTTCTCTGTAAGAAAATTAATCTTAATGGCTGATTCAACACCATTTACTAATATATTCAGATTTGCATTACATTTATTTCACAAAGAGCCACCTGACTTTAAAGCCATTGTCAAAAATAGGCATTGGTCTTCGTAACATCTTATGTAGACAGGTGAGACAACATGGATGAAAGCCCAAATCTTAGTGCCTTTCCTTCACTCCACCTCTAAACTTTCCCAAGTGAAGGAAAAGAAAGGGCAAAACAACAAATTGTATGTAAGTTAGCACTTAGATAGTCATCTGAGTTGGATCTCTAAAGAGGAACCACTGTGAAGACTACTAAAGGAAAACCAAAAAGAAAGCTTCCTCCATTTCAGAGCTTCTCTGTGATGCCCTGGTTCTGTGACTACACTGGAGTAGAGACACTTTCTGGGATGTATGAGCCAACACGCTCTCTTAGGGTAGGCAAGAGTCCTCTCTGGGCTAATGGAGTCAATTCTTAGGATCCTGCAAACAAGAGAGTAAAAACCTATGACATTTGACAACAGAATAACATTCTTTTATCTGTTCAGTTTTCTGCCTCTTCCTCCCTCCACTATACCACAAATCTATATAAAATGATTTTATCCAGTCATCAGCAACCATACTGCCAAAAAGGTAAACTCTAATCCTATCTCCAATTAATGTTTTCTTATAAGTCTGTAGTCCAATCAAACTCAGCTAATCACTCCCCTTAAAGGCTGCCCATTCTACTCACCAAGCCACTGTTCATACATGGCTGTGGGCATCCTCTCACTGTCTTGTTATCAGTTAGCTTTACATTTATTTCTGGGGCATTCCCCTAACCAGAAGGTCAACTTGGAGAACATGGCAGGGCTGTATAACTGTTATATTCTGTTATAGAACATGACTTTATTATATAACATATTGTTTGAAAACCACAGCCCTGTAAGTATTTTCTACATGAATTGGGTGATATATTATTAACAATTTTAAATAATAATTGTGAGCTAGAAAAACTAATCTGGGAAAATGGATAGTTATTATGGCAGTTGACCACATTAAAAAAAAACCCTCAAAGCTATTTAGTTTGGATCAGTGTAAATAAATGCATTGACTATTCAGCAAGAGGACAGTATATATAGAACAGTGTCAGATACTAGAAATGGCATCATGTATATGTGAAGAGCTCAATAATTTATAAAACAGTCCATACATTATATAACATCTTCCTTTCTACAATCCTGTGAAACGAGTTGAGCAAACAGTGTCACCCAGACTTTATAAAGAAACCTAACTTCAGAAGAGGCACCCTGATAAATAAAAGGCAGCATTAGGAATGTAACCCCAGCCAGGTGTGGTGGCTCACGCCTGTAATCCCAGCATTTTGGGAGGCCGATGCAGGTGGATCACGAGGTCAGGAGATCAAGACCATCCTGGCTAACATGGTGAAACCCCATCTCTACTAAAAATACCAAAAAAAAAAAAAAAAAAAATTAGCTGGACGTGCTGGCGGGCACCTGTAGTCCCAGCTACTCAGGAGGCTGAGGTGGGAGAATGGCGTGAACCCGGAAGGCAGAGTGTGCAGTGAGCAGAGATCACACCACTGCACTCCAGCCTGGGCGACAGCGCAAGATGCTGTCTCAAAAAAAAAAAAAAAAAAAAAAAAGGAATGTAACCCCAATTCCATATCCTAGCCATAAAGAAGACAACTCAATCATGTGGCCCCTGAAAAGGTATTAGAAGCCTCAACTGCTTTATTACATGCTAGCAAACTGCATAATCCTTAAATAAGACAAATAACCCAACAATAGGTATAGATTATAAACTTGGCTAAGCTGTGGGCTCGGTAAGGGCAAGTGCCTCTTCTCTTATATACATAGCACTGCCATAGAACCTGGTACACTGAAGGTCCTCAAATATCTATTTAATTGACAACGTATGTCTTGTACTATTACTAACAAAATTCTAAAGCCCTACTGAAATATCTGTGAAGTTCTTAATTCTCAATGAAAAGAAATCACCCAAATGTTCAATTACATATGTAGAGCACATGTGTAACTGAAGGCAGTTACACAATATAGAGCATGTGCCCTTGAAGAGCCTGTAATTTAAATTAGACACATTAAAGGAGAGCACTAATTAGCCAACAAGTGAATTTAAAACTAAATACAGAAATAATTTTATATTTCAAGAGGCAAGGGCAGTCAGTGGTTCCTACCAATGAGTACAACGTGGCATGTGATTTTAGAAGGGGAAGCACTGATCTTAAATTAGCCCTTAAAATGGTCTATTTTAGTTACTTTTCAGCCCATTGTAATTTCTTACTCTCTTCATAGCTAAAAGATATTCACTCACTGACTATTTGGGTGAAGAATGAGAAAATGAAAAGCATGTGGATTACAAGTGATCTGGTGACAAGGCCATTATTTTGAACCCAGGGAAGACTACATGAGTACTTATCAGAACTGCTGCCAATGGAAGGTTTTCATTAAACTCAGAAAAGTGGGTTGCTTAAAAGACAGCCCCCAAATTTCTATTCGATTAAGACCTTGCTGATCACTGACTACATGCCACTTTCCAAGTCCTCTACGGGCATCATCTTATTTAATCCTCACTACCTTAAGACATGGTATGACTATCATCCCCATCTTGCTGATGAGGAAACTACAGCAACAAGGTCACATGGTGTGGCAGAGCCGGTTTAATCCCACACTCCGGCCTCCGAACCTGTGGCCTGACTTGGAGCATTCAGGCCGCCACTTACTGAAACTTGCTTAGTAAGAGGTTCCACCCTGTAGCCTGAGCTCCATTCCTCCCTTTCCTATTTCCCCCAGGGCCTTGGACATCTCCCCATCACCACATCTGAATTCAGTTCACCTTTCCCCTCAAGCCCCTGAATTTCTCTGCAAACTCTACCTGCATTCTCTGTCACCCACACCTGACACTTTTGTCTCAACCATGGGATTCAGGTGGTGAACAAATCCCTACCTGGGTGCTCTCCTCTTACATGCACTCTTGCCTATCTTTTCTTTTTCTCTATTTTTATTTTTTTTATTTTTTATTTTTTTGGTGAGACGGTGTCTTGCTGTCACCTAGGCTGGAGTGCAGTGGGGCAATCTTGGCTCACTGCAACCTCCACCTCCTGGGTTCAAAACGATTCACCTGCCTCAGCCTCCCGAGTAGCTGGGATTACATGCCCACCACCGCACCCAGCTAATTTTTGTATTTTTAGTGGAGATGAGTTTCACCATGTTGGCCAGGCTGGTCTCGAACTCCTGACCTCAAGTGATATATCCCAAAGTGCTGGGATTACAAGCGTACGCCACCGCGCCCAGCCTTGCCTATCTTTTTCTTTGCCCAGTATCATCATCCTAGTCCAGACACTGGCCATGGCACACCTAATTACAACCTCTTTCCCCCAGGCCTCTTGATGAGAGTCAGAAATTTTAGCCTTTCTTTAGGATGCTGCACCAGAAGCCAGCAGATTAAATGATGACTAACAACAATAATAAATACTTGCTAACAATTCTATAGCATAGTGCTTTAAGCGCTTTACATATATGAAGTGCTCATTCAAGTCTCACAAGAATGCTGTGAGGCTTGTTCTATTACCAGTTGCACTTTCCAGATGATGAAACTATGCTACAGAGGCTGAGTAACTTGCCCAAGGTCACAGCAAGCGGGGCAGCCAGGCTCTACACTCTGGGGTCTGGCTCCAGGGTCTGCACTCTTCATCATCGTATTTTCTCTCTTAAACAAAGAAACGTGTATGTTCCAGGTCCTCAGAAGGCCTTGAAAGAGACACACACTGCTCACCAAACAGCCTCAAGTTCCTTGAGGGTGGGGAGGAAGAGCACGTGACTACCTCTGACTAATGGGTTGGGGGCAAAAGAGGCGTGTGTCACTTCCAGCCTGAAGTGTGAGGGAGCGGCATTCTCCTCGGCCACAGCATCCGGCAATGTTCTAGATGGTGGCACCTTTGTCAGCCTGGGTCCCTGAATGAGTAAGTGAGAACTCCCACCCCATGACCCACCCAACTGTATTAGACAAGTGGTGCAAACAAGAAACACACTATGGATTAAACCACTGTGATTTCAGGGTTATTTCATGGCTGCAACATAAGCTAACCTGTTCTGATTAATACAGTGTTTCACCTACTTGGAATGAGAAAAAAAAAGACCAATACACGGAGTGTAAGAAAAGAAAAATGCAGACACTATCCAGTTCTTCTGGTAAATAATCTTCCTTA